AGAAATATATCTTTTTCCGCTGAACAGTAATCTGAAATTTTTCAGAATATGTCAATGTCGGGACATTTAGCGACCTGGATCCTTTCAAGGATAGCGGAGAAGATGACATATTAATGCTGTGCTCTGGTCGATTCGAGACTCAGAACCTAGCGCCATCAAATAAAACGACCACGAACGATGATCCACCGTCAGTTTTCACTATGCTTTCTTTCTGATGCGTAGTGATAACGTTATATTAAGTGATTCGCCCAAGGAATCGAATCAGATCGCATCGGCGCGTAAAAAGAAACGTGTTCTGATAGAGTCTGATGACGAGGAAGATGGTGATTTAGGGATTGAAGCGGAGGAAACTTCTAAAGACACGGTAGTTGTCACTATATTACATTTTTCCTGCTATTATTCTGGTCTGATTTCATAGACGACTTTGAAGAGCGAAGCGCCGGAACCGACTCTCATGGAAGAGGAACATGATGTGCCAAAACAAGCAACTCTTCATCGAACTGTTGTGCTCTCCGATAGCGAAGAGAGTCTTCAGTCTGATCCAGAAATGGACCAGAAGGAAGGAAATGTATGCGATGGGAAGGGAGGAAGTGGTGATGAGAAGGTGGGCGACGTGGAGGAGGAAGAAGGGGATGATGATGATGGAGATGCAGAGCAAGAGGCAGGCAGCGATGATGGCGATTTAGAGGAAGAAGTACAAAACGGCGAAGACGATGTGAAAAGAGGTTAGTAATTATTCTTGGCTGACTCATGTTTCGTATACTCTATTCAGTAGTTTGTTTTGCCTGGATTCTTTAGGAGTGACCCTGGTATCTATCCTCTTAGAAGTGCATTTTCCGAGAGGTACTTATAAGCGAATGCGTAGTGATGGCTCTAGAACGTAGTAGTGATCGCATTTTCTCTAAAACTAGCCCTAAAATATCCGAGTAAAGGGTGGCGTCATCTCAATGTATTCAGTAGAATCATGGAAGATAGAGGAGTCGAGCGGCCCTCATTCGACGTTGTATAGTCGACAATTATTTATTCTTTAGTAGTAATGATCGCATTTCCTTGAAAACTAACTCTAGAAATATCCGAGAAAAGGGCAGTTCATACTTTGCGTTAGCGCTTCGAATGTAATGCAGCGTTTCGAGCAATAGGAAAGTATAAGTAGATATTGATCGAGTGTACCCACCGTACATCAGCGTGTGACAATGAGGGCTTCGCAGGTAGTTTTGAATTTTTTGCGAGCAGTCGCTAAAAGCACTCGCCTACGCTCATAGCGATCGATATACAGGGGGGCAAAAAAAGACACTTCGACCGAGTCACATATCAGCTAAGTTTTCGCAGCTCAGACAGAGGAGTGGGCGTATGGGAGCTAAAAGGGGGTGGCAACGTGACTTAGATACCCGGTGGGCGTGGCCAAAATAGGGCGAGGGCTTGACGTGGACGGATATAATTAGGCTTCAGCGCTTCTTCCTGAGCTTGGAGACGATAATTTCCTTCTTATTAAACAGCTGTGTGTTTCTACTGCTTGAACTAAGAAGTTCCGAGAGGAAGAATTAACTTAGATTGGAATTTATGCTTTTTGCAAAGGTATACATTAGGCAGAGGCGAAAAAGTGGTTATCAGGTCTTACGTATGATCATGAAATCAACATTAAGCACACCTTGAAGACAATAGGAACGTTTACCTTGTAAACGGTGCTCCCGTCTAATATCTATTGCGGCACAATAATTTGGGAAACACCGCGTCGCATTTGGAAGCCTTGCCCTGTGGCCACGCTACCCGGGTATGTAGGTGCAACGGCACCCCAGGGGGGAGAATCCAAGATGTTCCTCGATAAGCAGGAGCTTGGCCCTCTCCCCATCACCTTCATGTACACCAAAATATTAGAAGTCATCTCCAGTCGCAGCCTGACTGGAGAAGACCTTTGAGTTCACGTCACCACCAACAGCCTGCCGAACACTTCTAGTATGGGAGTCACTATATATAGCTACCTGGAGACAGTACTCTCAATCTGGAAGACCTCCAACATCGAGCAGCTCCGACAACGTCGCTACGGTCTAGGACATCATCTTCACCACAGTCGTCAAGGCGGGTTGATGGTATGGACCCGGAAGTCCTGGAATGGTAAGACCGATATTTTCCGTGGACCCCGGACTGAAGGTGAGCGCTGGGTGAGCGCTGGCGGTTACATTGGGCAACTCGTGAAGAATATCCTCCTCACATGTGGTCGCCCGTACCTTCTTGGAAACTTTGTACTGCTACAGCATTGAGTGCCACCACATGAAATCGAAGGGCGTTGGAGAAACACTCGCCTACTTGGAATGGAAGGGGGCTGAGTACCTAAAGAAGATGGAATATCCAAGTAGGTCACCTGACCTGAATCCCCTCAATTACCCGTTGGGCGGAGTTCAATAGGGTGGTCTACAGTGGCGGAGAAATCAACGATCTCGCTGAACTCAGGCACCCACTCACGGTCGCGTGGCAGAATCTCTCGATGGCGCTCCTCCAGAAGGCTGTGGCGGAGTATCGTGATAGTATTTAATATGCTCTTTAATATGGTGGTAGAAATGTCCGATCAGAATTAATAAAGTGTAACTTATAGCGCCTCGAAAGTCAAGGAAGAAAAGTGTCTTTCCCCCCCCCCCCCTCTTGTACGTGCTTTCTGGTTGCTCGAAACGCTCAAAATCCTGACGCCAAGTATAAATGTAGCTTATGGAGGCAAATTTCTACGAGGTTAATAGCTTTGAAGCCTTGGTTACGGCTCACTACCTGTAGAGACTCGCACTTGCTTATCTATAGTGCACGTATTCTGGAACGTTTTTTTTATAATTTTTATTTTATTTTTACTTCCTCATTTTGCATTCGATGCAAGGGCATTGTTGTTTACGCGTTGGTTTCTCACGTTCCTTTAATGCAAAATGATGGAGAAACAAATGGTGAGCAAATAACTAATTTGACGATAGTGGTATTGAATTTATTCTGAGGTAGTTCTGAGCTCCTAATTTACAAGTACTTCGTCGCCAAATTTTCTTTCGTTGGTACTTCCTTCGTTTTCAGCAAATGATTATATCGACGAGGAAGCGGATTCTGATGACGAGCTAGCTGTTGTTAGGAGGCTTGAGAAGAGCGAATTTGAAAGGAAGTTAGTATTACATCCTGGGAATTGCCACATCGCAGTTCCGATTTTGCTGCTGAAGTTGTTAATGATATTTCAATTGAAAGAATCGAAGCGTTTAGGGCTAATCGTGAGAAGTGGTTTGATGACGAGGCTTCTCTTTCTGGCGACGATGTCGGCAGTGATTTGGATGACGATGGAGATGTTGCGAACGAGTATGAAGCCGAAGAAGGTCCACTTAACATTCGTTTCCTTTTTTTAATTTTTTAATGCGTGACTGTTT